CTCGTACCGACAAACATGTCCCCAACGTTCGTTTCCGTAAATCTAGTTGGGATCATCCGGGAGTCCATGCAGGTAAAGAATACTGCCTTTGGCTGTGATAAGAGTAACGGCAGTAATTATTTATATTGCGCGATAAATATTGTTAATATGACAAGTTTTTAAATTGCACTTTGGTATTGTACTTTCGACAATTATTATTTATTGGGAACTATTACATTTATTGGCGCATACACAATTTATATTTCTATAATTAATAAGACAAGAGAATGGAAAACATACGATTATTCCGATCGACAATCTTGTCTCTTGTTTTCGAAAATGTTTAAATGTGTTTTCATAAATTATAATAGAAAAAGAGTGTATGTACAGTAAGTCACAAAATTATTATGAAATAACGAGACAACAAAGAGGATTTTAGAATTCTTTTATTTGGAAATACATAGCTTGCAGTTCGGGCAAAAAATTTGGAATATTTTCGTTTATAATTACAGAAAAACCAGTTATAACAATTCTTGACACGTTTTTACGCCGCAAAATTATTCGTTCACGCTATCGAATCGAGCAAAACAAACGCTATCTGCAGATTCGAATGAGCATTTATTTTAAATTGCCGCGTAAATAATAAAGAAAAGCATTCGGTAAGCATCGATTTATATTTATATTAACGCATTTGAATAATTCGCGATCATGGACAGAAAAAACGAAGAAACAGTCTACAAATTAGGAAATTATTTTTTATTGGAAAAATGGAAAATCTTTAAGAAATATTAGAAATATTTTATGGAAACATTGTTCGACAGTGCGATACATTATTAAACATAAATTGAATTATTCGATTTAGAACAATTGATGATATACCGTTGCTGCCATGTGCTTCTACAAGATTTCAAATACACGTGTTTTTTTTTTCTCTTATCAATGTTTCTTTGGATCAAGGACATAGCATGGGTCGCAGTCGAACAAACGTGTTATTTTAAGTAAAAAGTACTATGATAAAAAAGGTATTCGTTGTCCAATAAATTTCATGAATGAAAACGTTTTCATTTTCACCATATATTTTTAATAATAATTCAAATTAATTTCAATTAAAATAATAATTAAGATCCTTTAGTATCGTCACGAAGAAATAAACACGGTTATACACGAAAGTACCAACAAAGAATTAAACAAAATGGTTTTAACATACCTCAGGATGGTCTCGAACTTGTTGAAATTGTTTCACCATTCCTTCTCTATGGCATTTTCTGTATTTCATTATCCCTTTAATTATTCTATCCATGGTAACGTTTGGGAACTGTCCAACTGAGTCCCTGTCCAACTACACTTTGTCAACATGAAATGACGAATACATAACTCCGCCATTATCGAATAAGTGGCGGAAAATTTAAACTCGCTTGAAGTTTAATAGAACTCGTTTTAGTAAAATTTAGATCAATCTCCCACAATTTGGTTCCCATTTGAGTCCCCATTTCATTAGACACAAATCTGTATTTATTCTTTCTTTTATTTGTACATTTAAAAAATACAGTTTAATGATACATACTTAAGCATAGTTATTATTCCACATTTGTTGCCTAATATTATTCATAAATATAGCTGTAAATAAATTCATACAAATTTAATGTTTGCTCGTTTATGTCAAAAGATATTGGGCAATCGAAATTTCTTACAAAGTATAGCGTACGACCCATATTATCGTTTATATAAATTCAGAGATATAATGACGTTCAGTTACGTTAATTTTTGCTGTAATAAAGTATGATCGTTATGGCTTATTATATTAATCGAATATAACGTAAGAAAATATATATATCTTTGAAACAGGCCAGAATAATTGCTGTACAGAAATGAGACGTATAATAACATGGAACCAGGAAAATTCCTTACCCAGGAAACCATGCATGATCTAAGAGCCAAGAACGAGAGCGTTTTCCCTTATTGAATAATATAAAGTGTTGACTGAATACGATATCAATAACGTAAAATCTTTTCATATGTTCCGTTTAAATTTTATACCAACGAAACAGTGAGTGCTTTTGAAGTTCCGTTTTTAGCACCCAATACAGGTCTGAAAACATTATTCTTATGTTGACAATTACCATATAAAATGTTCGTTGACAAATTTATCGATACAGTTTGGTCAATTCTCGTGCAATTGTACTCTCATTCTAGTGACTTCATTTCGAAATGACTCTTAGATTCAACAATGATTAACACCTTGGACCCGGGTGACAACGCGCCTGGGTCGAATTGATTTCTATCTACTTAAGGCTGAGCTTTGACTAGCACGCTCCAGCTTTTCAAAATGTTTTCGCGCGTTACGAATATTGATTAACGTTGCCGCTGACGCTGAAACAAGGCGAACAGATATTCTAGTACTTGTTAGAAAAAGATTTAATTATAAATACTTACGGATTGCGGGATCTGACATAATAACCATTACATAAGTATTGGAGGTAAATACGTCGATGAAAGCCGCAAAATTCGTATTTCTAACTTCCATACTTTGAAATTGCGCCGCCAGTTTACTAAAAAAATATGATTTTTTATACATATGTCCAAATTAATGTCTTTATAATTTGTATTCTTATCCAACTAGTCTTACCTGCAACTCAGCTTGAATTGTTTTATTATGTTAGAAACTTTCTCAAATCGGTGTACATCTCTATGATGTTGTCTTTGGCAATAACTAATTACTAGAAATGTTGCTCTTTCAAACAAAAGTACTTCATCGGCATCAATAATGTTTGTAAATTGTTTCAAACTTTGTTCAAGTTCTTTCACATTAGGAATCAACATATATACAATCGAAGACCATGCTCTAAATGTAACAATACACATGAAATCCTAAAATTTTATAAATTATAATCACTGTACAATTATGAAGATGTACCTATATAATGTTTCATCCCATATACTAGTTCTAAAACAAGTACATTCAAGGGGCAAACTAAGTCGTTTCAGATCCTCTTCTCTCTCCCTAAATATCAGATCTCGTTGATCTTCTTGCACCAAATCCATTTTATGTACTAGACAGAATATTTTCGCTTCTGGACTATTTTGCAATATGGCTTCTAAACAACTCTGATAATAATGCATGTCTTTATCTAATTCTCTTGATTCTACATCAAAAACATAGATCAAAACTTCTACATTCCTGAATATATTATCACGCTGTGATGCAAAATAATTTTCCATGAATGCTTCTTGACCACCACAATCCCAGAGGTTTAGCACCAGATTACCAAGGAATCGAACGTGACTATGTTCAACATCGACTGCAATAAATACAAACAAATGAGCATTTATTGACTGAAACAATTAAAACAATGAATTATTATTATTGCTTACTTGTTGCTCCCAGACGACGAGTATCACGTGCAATATAATTAGCAAAAATAATGCTACGCATACTCGTTTTCCCTGAACCACTCTTACCCATTAACAGAACCTAAGAAATATTTAACATATTATACTCCTTTAATCAAAAAAAGTATATGCTACAATTTTGTATAAATAAAAGATTTATGGACCTTTTTCTTCATCTTGAACTGGTAATACTAAACCTAAAGTTTATTTAGATTAATCGTTCTCTAGTAACGAATGGTTGATGGGCCCTGTGGTCTGTAACAAATCATAGTTCAGTATAATATAGTCGCACGGTTCAAGATCCATTAATTTCACGATGGCATTATATCATAAACATACGTCAAATGCGTGGTCAAATGTCAAATTTCATATCGAGGTTATTCGAAACTGTTCGATGAATCACGATTATAGGTGCGACTTTGTAACATACAATTAAAACACAACAGTATTTTTTCAAACGATATACGGTACTAAATGCAATCAGAAAATTAATTATACAAAAAAAAACATTGGTCGTTTCAAAGGTAGACGACGACTTCCAACGATTTCCTTGATAGTAAACAGTCTTACGATATAGAAATTACGATACTCTCCACTTTTTACTATGGAAATATGAACTGCTAGTAGCTAACTTCACACTTATTGTCACTGATTGTCACTACTGGTCACCGCTGGCCACTACAGCGCCATTGAAAGATTAGATAAATTAGAATGTTGATTACGCGAAGTTTACTGAATGATAGCAGACTCAAATGTTATACAAATACATTTATATTATTACTAGATTGTCACATACAAAATGTATAGCACAAAGAAATGATATTTCATATTAATTACTATGCACCATATTGAAGAGGTAGGAGTTTATTGACAATACTATTCAGCATGGATAATAACAAAATTTAATAAATTATAGTAAAATGTTGTAACACATAGTATTTAAATTAATTTGATCGTGAAACAAACAATTTATAGAAATAGCAGCCGAAGTTTTAGCATTCAGAATTTCTTATGATTGTTTATGGTGCAACAGAGATACTCTTTCACGTGAAATTTAAGTACCGAATTGTAAATATTAATGTTCATACGACAACAGAATGTGTACTTATGCAATGTTGTTCAGTATATATGTAATATTTGAATATGTAAAGTAACAACTAAGGTAATGTGAAAATCTGTATCATTAGTCAAAGAGGTTAAAAATCTTAAAATCTTTACGTGGTTTGGAAGGTTAATCACAGGTCTAAATACATTCGAAATAAAGAAAAAGGAAATAATACATTACAAACACAAATATTCGACATTTATTCCTTAACAAATGATACAATTCAATAAAGATTTCAATTTTGATTGATTTCGATGAAATTATCATGAAGTTCCAACGTGAAGTTGTACATTCTCACTTTTAATATGTTGGCTGACCTGTAATTGATTCGGTGCAGTATTACCACCGGCTCGAACCTATATTATTCTAACTTTTTTTTTTAAACCATGTGTACATTTATACAACACATATGCACATTCGTTCATGTCCGACCGATGTACATGTGTGCTCACTAATGATCGGACCTTGTAAGTATACGAAGCGAAAGATAAAGTATAAAGGAAGGAAAGAGAGGTGACGACCTGAGTGTAAAGTGAAAGAGAGAGAAAGGAAAGAGAACAATAGTGGGGGGTCGAGTGAACGGTGTTCCATGAAAACCGGTGATCGTGCCATAAGAGGAGAAAGTTCCCAGTTCGAGCACCAATCGAAACGATTGTCCGAAGAAAGAAAAACCTTGATTGGTGCCGAAGCTAGGGACTTTCTCCTTTGACGGGACAAATCACTGTGGCTGTGTGTTTCTCAGTGGAAAGTACTGTGCAGTGGTAGAGAACCGCGGCGGCGGCGGTGGTGATTCAGACCTCCTTATCAATCTGAAAAAGTCGTGGTGAAGTACTGGGAGTGATTCGTCGACATCGGGCGTCGATTATATGTTCGAAATGAGGTGTCATTGATAAGACTTAAGAGCGCCGCGTGGTTCCGCCTCCGCCGTGCCCGATTCGCGGCACATCACGGACGTGTGGATAAAGCGGCGCCATACATATATATATATATATATTCATATACATATATATATATACATATTTATATACATTTACATATATATTTATGTATATATGTATATATACATACACGATATATAATCGTATTTTTTTTTCTTTCGGGGGAGTGCATAGAAGACAGAAAAAGGGAGGAGTGGAAACCGTCGCGAGAACGAAAGAGAAATCCCGACACTAAGGGAGGCCGACACAAGTGAATCGAGAGCGAGAAAGAGAGGTAGAGATTCGCGGATGCGGCGCGGTGTCTCTGCACCCGTGCGTGAATCACGCGTCGGAGGCGCTCGTCTGTCCCCCGTTTTCGAGTACACCCTATACTCACGACATTGACCCAATCGAGGACGCTGGTTTGCAATTGAACAAGACCTTAAGCGACTAGTACCGATTAGCCGTTCGAAACTGTCATCCACGAGGAGGGGCATTCCTGCTCCGTTTCGTTTTCATGTCCTCCACCGGGCGTCGAAAGTCTTTCTATCCGTGCTCGTGATACAGAGCCGGTATTAGAAACATCGGTCATACAACGTCCACCAGACTGAAAAAAATCCACCTCTTCTCCTGATAACAGAAGTGAATGGATCTTAGGTTCTCATGTTTTCAAGAGAGAACTTGGCGGTCTTGTCAACGTGAAGAATTCTGTATATACTGTGATTTAAGAGAGCCCTTAGTCTTTTGAAATTTTCGAGTAACGTCACAACGACTGAGCAGGACCGTGGCAGGAGGACGTAGAGTTAAGTGGATATCCGTTTAAAAGTATTGAAACGCAGCAACTTAGAGTAGACTGGCAACAAAGAGACAAGAGTAGGGACAACATGTCAGATGAAGAAGACAAACCTCCCGCACCTCCTGTGCGACTTACTTCGAACAGGTAATTCAAGTATATGTAATTTCATTTCTTGTATGCAACATAATTTGACAGTGGTAATACATTACTACAACTGTTTCCTATAGTCATGGTATCTTGAATTTTATAACATAAATAATAGTAGTAACTCTGGAATGATGATATTCTTATTATAAAAAAAAAAAACACATAATAATCATTATTTGCAACTGTCTTCAGATGCTTAAGTATAGAAGGAACTTGTATAAATGAAGTAAAATTATGAGGCTAAAGACTTGTGATATTTAGGCATCTGAAAAGGGATGTGTATATATTATTTGAAACATGTGTGTCTATAATAAAGACATCACTAATCTGAAACTATTATTTATACTTATTTTGTGAGCATGGTAATAATAATTCTTTAAGAAGGATAGTTCTTTTGCTAATATAGATTTGTTTTTACATTGTGCAGATTCTAAGTTATCAATATGATATTAGAGGAAATTTCTGTTATCTTTTCTACAATATTGAGACTGATATGAATTTATTACACTGTCTATATTCTTATTATTTTCTTTGCAATATGCAGAGATACGTGTCTCCCCTAAAATAGAGGAACAGACACTAATTTAGTAGTTGCTAAAAATAAAATTCTACAGTTCAGATGCGATGACATTCTGTTGTGGGAGACCACCCTTTTATGTCTCTATACAACTAAACTAACATGCCTCAACAAAATATATGTTATTTACACATAAATATTATCAATATAGAACTAAAGATTAGTATTTTGTATATATTTAATGAAAATAAAGACTCATTTTCAACTATAAAATTATAAAGAATAATCATACATTTTATTGATATAAAGTCTTATCATCTTAATTTAGTAAATAAATACCTAATCAAAATAATTAAAGTACAAATCAGTTCATAATTGTTATAAGGATGAAATACTTTATCATATTTGATAATGTACTTAAGTAATAATAAATTTAATGTTTCAGAGGTGAATCGGCACCTAATTTGCCAGTGGACATGCGTCCATTGCCTAAAGAACCTGATTCTGATGAACGTAAGAAAAAAACATTAAAAAGCAAAATGAAGGTAAAAGAGAACAAAGATAAACCCAACATCAGTTACCCCACCAATTTTGAACATACGGTACACGTTGGATTTGATGCGGTTACCGGTGAATTTACGGTAAGTTTTTTGCTTTTTGCAATTTGTTACTATCGTTCAAAATGCACTCGCTTCCTGCTTTGCTATTATACAATGGTACGGAGTATCCAAACAAGCATTACAATAGAAATGAATACTCCTTTGTGCCAATATATTACAATACATTGCATACATTTTACTAATTTTCATGGAAGACTGTAGTTCTTATGGATAATGCACCTTTAATTAAAATTTGAATACAATCTTTATTCTTTATAGTATAATACTGAATTAATATTTATCAGCATTTAATAACGAACATTTATTTTACAGTTTATTAACTAATAGAAAGAGAAACAACAAAAATGGAGAACAGTGTAGTATTAGAATTCATACAAAATATTTATATATTTCTAATATATGTATATATATTATTCTATTTAAAAAATTCTTTATTTTTAAAATACATAAAATCATGCAATGAACTAGTAATGTATTTGTAAATATTAGTGGCAGTAACCTTCATTTATTTAAAGAGAAAAATTTAGATGGATTTTCCGTACCTAAAAGAAATGAAATTTTAATCACCTGTTCACATGTGTATGGACATTGTGGAAAAGTAATTTGGTAATTTGTCCGATGCTTCTTATACCTATTATTTTTTCACATGAAAAACTAACTAGACACGTATTTCTTTCAAGCTGCCATTAAAAGTAAGTAACTTCAAATGACCACAAAAATAGTTTGCCTGCATTTATTCTTATACATACACATGATTTAACTGTATGTTTTTGTTGCGGTTAATGGAATTAAGTTATATTTTTTTTACTCGAAATTTAGGATTTATTATAGACTACAGGCATAGCTGCTTCAGTAGACCAATATATGCTTTAGTCAACGTTGCATTTAATATTATTGCTTTCTTGCGAAATAAAATATCACATTGGTTCGACTGCTTAAAATCTTACTATTTCTTCCATACATCAATTGAATTCTCAAATATTTTACATTTGCACGATGTTCTCTTAGATTTAAAAACTTCGAGAATTATATCCTTGCGAATAATATACCCTGTATCACTTATTTCCTCCTTAAACATATACGTATATCGTTAACAACGATCATTTTGAAACATAACTTTTTATCCTAGGGAATGCCAGAGGCTTGGGCGAGGCTGCTTATGTCTAGTAATATCAGTAAACAGGAACAGAAGAAGAACCCACAAGCCGTGTTAGACGTTTTGAACTGGTATGACAGTAGTAGTAAAGAAACGAAAGGTTCCAAGTATATGACAACAACAAAAATGGTTGGAGTAGTCGGTTAGTTGAAAATACTTACGTAAAAATGAGCTTATATTTTCGGTACTATAATTTATTATAAATGTACATTTGGAAACATGATTTTTAGCTCCCATTGAAAGAGCAAGTAGTCCTCGAAGCATGGGTATAAGTGTTGGGACGGGAGTAGGAAATATTCGTGGTCAAGCAATGTCACAAGCTTCTGGAAGTTCTCATTCTCAGCATTCGCTCAGCAGGTGAGTCTTTTACACTTTTTACCTGAATCGACTAGATTTGCATTTAAATGTCTGCTGAGAAACAATAACGTTACAGAGTAAGTAGCAGTAGTCCAAGTAGCACGCCAACGGATGCTTGTGCAACTAGTTCCGAACAAGAGGATGAACCTCCGCCACCGCCAATTTCTGCTAGACCAGAACGTACAAAATCAATTGTAAGTAACCACCTATATACACAGAGTATAAGTATACATTCATTCGTGTGTCAAGAACGTACAATTCTTTCCAATAGTATACAAAGCCTATAGAAGAAGAACCGCCTCCACCATTAACAACAACGTTAGGCTCGCCTCAACGAAATGGTACACCGCAACAACCACACCAATCGCAATTGGACAGAAACAAAAATCAAGCAACTCCTACATCAACGACAACCGATCAAACGAGACCAGCGCAAAGCGATAAAGCTAGAAAGAAAAAGATGTCGGATGACGAGATATTAGAAAAACTAAGAACAATTGTAAGCGTAGGAGATCCTAATAGAAAATATACAAAAATGGAAAAAATTGGACAAGGGTAAGCGACAAGTTATATTATAAACTTTGCTTAGAAAAATTTTCTTGAGATATACAGGGTGAGTCAATAACTACTGTTATCTTTTGTGTTTCTCGAGATGTCGAGGTGACCTTGAAATTAAAAATTTTTTTCTTAGCAGTACGTTGTTGCCGACAAAGAAACAAATTTAATAACCTATAATAAAATGATTATTTACTAGAGTCTTAATAATTGTTAAATACTTGTGTTTGTAAAGAAATCATGCATACTGTGTAGATGTCAAGGTCATTTGAAATCATAAACTGTCAGGTCTGTGACTCTGAATCAGTATTACAAAATAGTATACGCGATAAGAAAATACGACACATGAATATAGAAACAACTGATACGATACTGGTTCATTGGAGAAGCAATAAAAGTTGCAATTTTAGCATCTGTAGTCGTTAATCTTTCCAGAGTTCATAAGAATCTCATATTACCCGAACAAGTGAGATATGTATACTACTATCATTATAATTTTTATCTATATCACAAACGAGTAGAATTTTATGAATGAGCGTTGTAACATCATGATTGGTTTTGTTCAAAGAATGTTATCTAGTTATGAATCACCTTTTACAAACCATGGAAACGTAAATACGTGGAACAATAATTATTAATAAATGTCATCGAATTCAATGTATTTTATATGAAACAATTTCTTCAGAAATCAATAGATAACAAGTTTACTTCAGGTGACAATAGTTAACAACTCACGCTGTATAACTATTTTGTATGTTTACGTTTCAGTGCTTCGGGAACAGTGTACACAGCAATCGAGACATCAACAGGGATGGAAGTTGCAATAAAACAAATGAATCTTTCGCAACAACCCAAGAAAGAATTAATAATAAACGAAATATTAGTTATGCGGGAGAACAAACATCCGAACGTTGTAAATTACTTGGATAGTTATCTTGTAGGAGAAGAATTGTGGGTAGTTATGGAATATTTACCTGGTGGTAGTTTGACGGATGTTGTGACTGAGACTTGTATGGATGAGGGTCAAATAGCAGCAGTGTGTAGAGAAGTCCTACAAGCTTTGGAGTTCCTTCATTGTAATCAAGTTATACACAGAGATATTAAATCTGATAACATTTTGCTCGGTTTGGACGGCGGAGTGAAGCTAACAGATTTTGGATTTTGTGCACAAATTTCACCGGAACAAAGTAAACGAACTACTATGGTCGGTACACCATATTGGATGGCACCTGAAGTAGTTACGAGAAAACAATACGGCCCAAAGGTAAATGTATTTGACAAACGGGAGACAAGGTAGAATTTATCATACTGTGATATTTATAATTAAATTTTAATATGTAGGTTGACATTTGGTCGTTGGGTATAATGGCTATTGAAATGATAGAAGGGGAACCGCCATATTTAAACGAAAATCCATTACGAGCTTTGTATTTGATTGCAACAAATGGAAAACCCGAAATTAAAGAGAAGGACAAGTTATCGCCAATTTTTCAAGATTTCCTAGATCAGTGTTTAGAAGTTGAGGTGGAGAAACGATCGGCAGCTTCGGAATTACTCAAGGTAATACGAACAATATACACGCATTATGCAAATACAGTAATTCACTTTTTATACGCCAGGCTTGAATTAACAAATGAACTAAATTTTAATCAAACGTGTACTTTTTATGATGAATTGCAGCATCCTTTTCTGAAATTAGCAAGGCCACTTGCTTCCTTAACACCCTTAATAATGGCGGCAAAGGAAGCTGCTAAAGGTCATTAGCGGCAGAATTCTTATTGGCGTTTCTGGCCATGCAATATGATCAGAAAACACAAGTTTGCAAATAAAAAAATGAATCACCCTCCCAAAACGGAACGGCACAATAATTTAATAATATATAATAAATAATAAATAAACATATATAAATATATATAAACATATATATAAATATATAAATATGTATATATATACACACATACACACACACACATACACACACATATATAGAATATATACATATATACATATTTATATATATAGATCATAGATAGATAGAACTTATCCGATACCTTGGGAAGTATCGAGAAATGGTTTCAAAGTTTTTAAATTGCTCGATTCTCGCATGTTGCGAGGAAACAAAGTTAATCAGAAGAACTGTGAACGATCTGACGGCAGAAATCTTGCGATCCTCGACGAGTTTTTATTGGTCGTGTAGAGCTCACCATGTCTTATTTAAATAGTCTTCAAAGAGAAAAAGAGTAAATTGTATGGGGTGGTTTGTTGCCTGAAGAGCTCTTGTACCAATGTGGAACTGTCATCGAGGATTCTCAAACGACTGTCAGTTATTTTCTAAAGATATAAAACTAGTATTACTGACTCTAAAATTGAAGATCAGAGTTAGCTAAAAAAACATACATTATTTATAGTGAAAACCTTATTAGATAATACCATAAACAAATGTGAACAAGTACATAGGACCTATTCTAATACATTATTATGGTTTAACAAGAAATCGTAGAAAAAAGAAAATTGGTCTTCATGTCAGACTTATATTTTTCGAATGAAGTTATGGAGAGCAGAGCAATATGTTTTCAGTCTTTGGTCTGTCAGTATGACGTAGATGTGTAAGCGATAGCCTAACTTGTTTTAAACGTTCTCAAGAATCGCGTTCTTGTCATTGAATGTTAGGGGACATCATTACGTTGCATCAAGTTAATGTTTTAACAGATATTTTTAGTATTCGGATATTGCAATCCTTGCATTACGTTAAAATGTATATAAATACGATAAATTGATTTCACAGATAGCAAAGTTTATGATCAATTTAATACACGCGAATCTTATTTAATGCTATTCATTTGTAATTGTAAGTATACAAGATAAGTACTTTTTCTCATTTGCATCACCGATGAGACACGTCGAGACATTGATCCTGTTATAAAAATATATTAGTTGTAAAAGAAAAACATCTTTCTATGGACGTATGTCCAGTTGCGTGTGTTCTCCGATACAGGTCAAATGATAAAATGTCTTTTGACGTGTCTTGTAGGAAGTGAACGGATAAGCGACGAAATTTTAAAACAAGGTTCAGATATAGGAGCATTTTGTGACACTATAAAGTGCCTGTCTTGTCATGTTTAGAGACGTGAAAAAACTCGCGCTAGATTCCTTATAATCTTGAACCATTTAACGGAATAATTTAATATTTTGTTTAAAAACTAGCAGAAACAGTATACAAAATACATACAAAGTAACAGAAAAGTATACATGAATTTACGTTAACGATTGTATAAGACAAGATTTCTATATGGTTGTACTACATTAAACCTAATAATTAATGTCTTTCCTAATTGTATTATACCTTAAACATATTATATTACTGAAACGGAAACCTTGAACGTTTTAGTTTAAGGAACGCAGTTTTTCAAACTTGTCATTTTTATTCTTTTCATCTTCATTATATATAGAACTTTGTTGTAAAGTACTGCTAAAGGACGCCATGTGAGAGTATACTAGATATTGAAGAAGTTAATGATATATTGCATATAAAACAAAAAAAAAAAAGGAAAGCATACATTATTTGGTAATAAAAAGTCATATATATAATAATGTATTCGTTATTTACTGAGTTTATTGTTTTCGTAATATTATTAAAAAGCCTGATTAGTTTTTTTTTTATAATAATGTCTAATTATACTTGACAGACGAAGCGGCTCAGTTTGTATCACGCTTACGCCTGAATTTGGAATTGCATGCTGAAGGGTAAATATGTTTACCTGTAAAGAATCAGGGATTATAATATATAATCGTATGATACGTGTCTCGATAGTAAGAATAAGAGCTCTTGCATTATTCCATTTCAGCATGCGCTCTAAATTATTTGGGAATTGTAAGCAATGTTAGGAGGTATAGAGAACAAAAATAATTGCACGTCTAGTATTAATACAAAAATATGTTTGTGTAAAAAGAATGTGCGATCCAGGGTCAAAATTGACGTTAACTCGATCAGAAATACTGAACGAGGTCCTGCATTTTCACAAATATCTTTTAAGAAAAAAAGTAACGTCCATTTTACGTCATCGTATTACTGCGGCAGATAATTAAGCATATTTCAACTACAGCAGTTATCTATAAGATTTACTTTTATTCGCAAATCGAGGCAAATCGTGGGTGCAAGATCACTTGTCCATATTTTTTTTTAAATATTACGCAAGTGTATACAGATAATGATTAGGCATATGGGTATTCTAAACGAGGTTCGTTAATTATTTGTCGAATAAACACAAGTACAAAAGTTGTATCAGTATGCCTTATCATAATAAACTAAGCGCTATTCGCAAAATTGACGTAATTGTTATTATTTTAATATCGAGAAACATCATAACGATATACTGCTTCAATGAAAACTCTTTGAAAAATGTGGACAAGCGTAAATTGTTTTTGCATCTACGTCTCGATTACCGTTCCAAGTGCATTTATGTATTCCCATAAGAAACGTATTATTGTCGGTTTAAAACTATAAAATAGGTTCCTACATAAACCAGGTTAAGCATGTATACCCGTTTTCATAATTTTGTTTACGATGTTTTTGAAAATGCTTTGAGATCTCAATATAAAAACATCAGGCCTAGCGGCGAAGCCGTTATATTATTTACGTATTTTATTAAAGTTTTCAGCTTCCAAGTTTGAATGAAAAATATTCCATTTTACCGTTATCCTCTTTGTATGAAATTTGACATTTATTGTCGCAGGAGAATATTGGTAAAAATCTGGTTTCTCAGGAAAGCTAATTAACTTAACAGTGTCGAATTTAAAAATGAGGGAAAGCAGGAAATGGATAATGAATTATTGTAAAAATAATGCCTAGAATTTGCATATATATTGTACTGTAACACCTTTTAGTTTGTTTTGAAACGTTACAATATAAGGAAACATTTTATAACAAAAAGTTGTTCTAACGCGATTCTCCCTCCTTATCTTTAGCATTAAGTAGCAAAATACTATTTTATAGGTAATGAGAAGTTTACGTAAATTTGATATAGTATTTGCATCTTCGTTTTAAGTAATTAACTGTTATACGCAAATAACAAATTTCTTACATTACTCCATATATTGAAACAAATAAATATTAATCATTATTTACATAATATGCCCATTGTATGTAATATGCAAAACTAACTGAATGCTTTTATAAATTATTTTGTGTAATTATTACATTAATTGCATAGTTTTTCTATTCATTTAGGGTGTATTTACAGAATTGGATCTACCCTAAAATGACAATGTTGCAAAAATTAATATATGATTTATCACTGTAGTATGTATAAATACAGATATTTGTTTTTTATAGAGCTAATCTTGACCTCTAACAAATGGAAATAACTCTAACATTCATGGAGCCAAATAGGAGTTATTTATAATAAATATAGAGTACATTTTACAATATTAGTAGTAATATTTATCATAAATGTATCTCTTATTACTCAAGATTGCATATATTTTGTTAAAGAATAACAAAATGTTTCTATAATAGTAGCAAAGTGTAATTCAAAATATCATATGGAGACAGTATTTGTTAAGAAATATAAACTTCTTTTAATATATATTAAATTGGACTTTTCAAAGTTCTTATTTAAATCTTTTTTCTGCTAGTTTTATGATGTTGACTTCTTTTCTTCTCCTGCTGCATGAAAGTTTATGGATGCAGAGTTGATACAAAAACGCTTCCTTGTGGGCTTCGGTCCATCGTTAAATACGTGTCCCAAATGTGAACCGCACTTCGAACAGGTCACTTCAGTCCGCACCATATCTGGGTTTGCGATCAGCAGTAGTAGATTTCCACCAACTGTGCGTCAATTGTCGACGCAGTTTTCGTGTGTCAATGGTGAGAGTGAAGTGGTGGTAGCGGAGCAATAGGAAGACAAAGGAAATAGAATAATAGAGTGTGATTAAACGCAGACAAACACCTGTCTGTGTGCACTTTAAATGCTTTCCAGTAATAGCAGCACCAAAAAAGTAAATTGATATTATTAAAAGCAGTAGATTGATTACAATAAATATCAAAACCTCTGAGCTAAATAATTTTATCAAATTAAGTGAAAGATATCTATCAAATTTCCTTCTCAATTATGTAAAATATGGAAATCATACATTCTGTACAAATTATTTTCTTATACCATTACTGGGATCTTTTTGTTTATAAATAATATGCAGTATTATTTAACTAATTTATAATATTAAGTAATGCATGTAATATTCAGCATCCAGTAGTATGTCATAATTAACCAATTTATATAAAACAGAAAATTTTTAATAATTCACAATACTACATAAAATATAATTTAAGCTCAAAATTATAATAGTAGTAATTTTATTAAAACTATAACATTACATAAAGCAGAAGCTATATGTTAAAAACTATAATATGATGAAATAGCAAGATATGTTAATTTCCTTTTCTTTCATACATAATAGAGAAAAAATGGTTTTTTAATGTAGAACTATGACCTTAGTTTCACACAATAGACAATGTGAGTCTAACACAATCACACTCTAAGCATTAGCATGCATGGTAGAGGATACAAGGAATATTGCCTTCCTTATACAATAACATAAATAGAATAAAATTATAATGATAATAATCATACACTTGTGCTAATTATTTTATTTGTGCGTATTAAGATTATATTGATGATAACAATTTTCAGAAAGTAATAAAATGTTTTACAATAAAACATTTTGTAATAGCTGAAAATGTAACTTGTAAAATATAATAAAGAATAGTTCAAATTAAAGTATCTATTAACTATGGAAGGCTTAGGAACAGCAGAAATAAAAGTTCAGGAAAGGTTTTGTGACAGTATGAATGTAAGAAAAAATGAAGAATATATGAAAATGGTAAATAAATAAATCTCTTAAATTCAAGATATCATTTGTTATCATCACATACAAATTAAATTTTATAATGAAGAGTTTATTTATGTACCATTTAAGCAGATACTTTTAACAAATTTAAAACTATAAATGTAATAAATACTGTGTTATTGGTACTAGAAATACGAGCATAATTCTAAAAAAATTTGTTGGTTAAAGTAAAATTTATACATTTGCTTACCATGTGAGGTATCTTTGGTTAACTTGACTCGTCCCTGTTCCAATACTTCGTTGAATGCAGGCCAACCACAGCCACTGTCATATTTTGTGTCAGAAGAGAATAATTCTTGATCACAGATTATGCATGTATATGTGCCTTTGTCATAGAATTTGTTGTAGCAACCACTAAATGGTCTGTGGAAGAAAACATAAGTGGTTAGATGCGTCAGGAAGCATGCAGAGTAGGAAGTTAAATATGAACACCTATGATTTATTTTTAAACCACTCGGTCATGACGCAAAGTCAAGCCAACATATGCTCTTGAAAAAGTTATTTTGGTCTCACATCGACTAAAAGCATACCAGTATCCTCTATACCAACTATATTTTTGGAAAATTGAACCACGAGTATTATAATTCATTTTAATCTGCTCGATCAAAACTTTAATACTACAGTATTTGAACGCAAGAACCATTAAAAACAAAAGACCAAAACTCGGAAAATCAAATCAGCTGATCATAATTATACATAATCGCGATCATGTACGCGTGATTACAGAGTACAAAAATATAACATCGATAAATAATGTATCACACATTGAGCAAAAATAAGTAATTGGTAATTTATTCATTATTGATTTTGCAAATATTCGTATACAACCGCAGTGTTGTTTACACGTATAGAATCGTATTTAGTAGATGCAAAAGAATCTTTTACATTTAACGAAAAACGAATTCATTTAAAAGGCAGTGTCGTATACGTCAGTATATGTGACTTATAAAATAATTTGATACACATCCAGTTCCATATTAAATTTACGTCAGACGTACCTTTCCGTGCCTTTTTCTTGCGTCACGTGCCACTGTATCGGTGTCAAACGTTTTTTTAATTCTTCCTTGTCGATCTCCACAGTCATTCTTCTAATCGAATCTTATAACAAGTGACAAATAATGTGGAATCAAACAACGATTCCGATAATACAAAAAACAACGCGATCCGTCTTGCCGCGCTTTCCTCACAACTATGCAACTATACCGCAAAGAGAACAGAAGCGGCACATCGCTTGTTCCTTTGAGACATGGACGATCACACTTCGTGACCTTGGGTTAACCAATCAGATTCTTCGGCGAGCGGATTTGATAATTATGCTATTATAATAACGTGAAGCTTCTACTCTATGAAGCAGGGGCGAATCTACCATGAAACTAGGGAATCTTTAATTTGGGGCACTTAAAAGCTCCTTGTTTGTCGATTTTTTTTATTCATCTTGCCTTCAGGGGCTGTAGCGGTGTTTTTTAAGCTACAGTACGGGTTTAGCAATCCCGAGATACCCGAGCTATAGGGAGACCAGTAGGCCCCCAACAGAGTAAGAGAGAATTATGGGAGGGGGGGGGGGGGGAGTATGTAATCAAAACAATATTTTTAATGCAGGAAAATACAAATAATTTAAACATATATAATAATATATCGAGGATAGAACTAATATTATAGTATAATATAATAAAAACCAAATAAACCAAATAAGTTGGTTCAAGTTATACAAATTAATGGCAGGAAACGCATTATCAAATAAAATGATAAATAGTTCGTTTACTAAACTCGAACAGTGAAAACTGGTGAAAACATCATACTATTACGTGGTTCAAAATTATTAAGAAAATGTGATAGCATTATTATCATGGAAGTAAATGGAGAATGATTGCGTGAGTACAGAGATAATTGTAGAAATAATATAGAGATTACACGAATGAAATCAACGTTAAAGTTTTGGCACGTAAAGATTAACTTTTTTTCTAAATTAAGATTAACCTCATATCATTAACCTCTTCAACCTAATCGTGTTTAAGGAATATTTATGGGTACATACATTGAATCTGCAAGCACTACAATACAAACCTTTATGAAGCAATGAACTTCTTGCTAGTACAGTTAATTGATGTAGACGTAATGACATATTTCTGTAAATGATGGACATTGTTGGAATACTCGACACTTTTAAAAGCAATCGCGTAATGTTCGCTGTATAGTACTGGTATTCTATTCGACAAAGCATTGTATATAATTTTATTCTGTCTATGTTAGATCATGATTATATTCTCGTACAAGTACGTGTATTAATTGTTTGCACGATTAATACGTACAAGAATACTTCATGATTTTTCGGTCAAATCATCTTTTTTTTTTTGTTTCTAAACTAAGTCATGTTAGAGCATAGACTTAAAAGATATATATATGTAAGCTAGATATATAGATACAGGGTATTTCGTCCATCTTTGTCTGATCAATTACTGCTGCCATCTATGGCAGCGGTAATTTTAACGTAATATTTCGCGGTAGATTTAAACAAAATATTATCGAGCTATATGTACATATTTGTGTTTTAACAACCAGTTCTGAACTGACAAATATAATCACATAAAGAAAGTATTAATATCCAAATAATTTTTGTTCTTCAAAAGTTTGCAAACAGTGAAAAAATACCATGAGTAAAATACGAGGGATAAACTCATCTGCGCCATTACAGCGAGTCATCTGATGACCATACCAAGATGGCCGAAAATTGCTTATAGCTTGTTTCCCCTTTTGTCTTACAATTTAACTACACAGCCCGAAACTGAGCTCTACAGGGTGTCTCAAAAATGTTGTAACACCTTGAAAGGGGTGGTTCGGGGGGTGATTTGAAACAACTTTTTCCTTAGCGAAAATGTTGTCCGAGGCTTCGTTGAGGAGATGTTAACGGAAAACCCCGACCGATCAGAGCACGCGGATACTGGTCGAGCGTAGGCTATGCGCTAAGCCGGGTTCGCTCATACGCTACCGCGGCCGCTCCACCGGCATCCTCGCACTCTGATTGGTCAGTGTTTTCCGTTAATATCTCCTCAACGAAGCCTCGGACAACATTTTCGCTAAGGAAAAAGTTGTTTCAAATCACCTCCCGAACCACCTCTTTCAAGGTGTTACAACATTTTTAGGACACCCTGTATACTTTAGATTCATGTGCCAAAGTTGGTAACGCCACTGTTCGTATTCCATGGCCAATGGTAATGCCTTGAGTTACTTGAGTATAATGCGTGTGTCTGTGTTCCTTTCTGCGGCGCCCTCGACGCGGCAAATCTAGCGTCCGACGTGAATAAACACGATTTTTCGGCACAACTTCCTATAAATATGTTGTGCTAGTGTGCGAAGGTTAAGAACGATGAGCTTCTCTAGCGATGAAGTCAATTTCTTGGTTTACCGATACCTTCAAGAATCCGGTATGTGCTCGAAGCGTTTCATAACCTCTTCTTGATTAATTGCAACAAAGTTTGAATTCCTACTGTTTATGTACACCTATTTCTTACATAATGAATACACTCTCATTAGAACAGTTATCGGAATTAATGAATTCATTATTAACCTGTGATTTATTACGAAATATAGGTTAAATGAAATGGGAAAAAATAATTATTCGAATGTAAATTAACATTTATTCCCGCTATTATTTACCTAAATTGACGATATTTTAAAATTATTTTGTCCATTTGCTTAGGTTTTCGATCAAAGTAATATTAATGTATGGTCTTTTTTTGGTTTTTGCAGGATTTCAACATTCTGCATACACATTTGGTATAGAATCACATATATCACAAAGTAATATAAATGGAGCATTAGTACCACCAGCTGCACTTTTATCAATACTTCAAAAAGGACTACAATATACAGAAGCAGAGATATCGATAGGTGAAGATGGCACAGAGCAAAGAATGGTGGAATCCTTATCTCTTATCGATGCTGTTATGCCAGATGTTGTTGCATCAAGGCAGAATCAAATTAATCAGCAAAAACAACAGGTGAAAACGGAAGTGCAGGATACAAATGGAGAAGAAGGTAAAATTACTTCTTATGTTAACCTATTTATACCAAGAAGTAGCACAGTATGCTCAGTTTATATTAGTGGGTAAAGAATAATCCATAAGTGCTAAAAAGAAGAATTAAGATTGATAACAATACAGATTGTCAACTGAATGTCCTCTGTTACTCATACTTGATAGTAAATTAACCTTTTGACTGTAAAGGCATATATATATATACACACCTTCAAGAAGTAGGATCAAGCAGTTTAGTTGTCCATAGAAAATAACGAGATGAACATTTTTTATATTTACAATTTATTAAAATATAAATTGCTGTAACTTAGCCAAATGTCATTGAAATTCTTTCATATTTCAAATTGCAATTGTCAGTTAATGCCCTCAAGTGTACATGCTAAAACTACTAATTATTTGTATATCCTGGTACACCCTGGTCTGTGAAAGTAATTAAATTTGATAGACCTCCTTACCATACCAGGTAAATTAAAGGACTGCTTTAGTTCATGGATTTGTTACATGCTGAACTTTTTTTTATTATACCAGTTCTGTTTAAGCTTTATAAGGCTTAACATTTTTTATTAACTTAGAAATGTATTTCATCAATATTATAATATGCCCTGGTATAGTAGAATAAAGCTCAGTATTAAATATATAACATGTCTGTGATCTAGAAGCGAACAATATTATTATCATATATAATTATACAAAGGAGAAGAAACTGCTTAATTTAATAACTGTTAACCTATTTGTAGTTGTTACCTCCAATGAAGGTGTAAGCACAAATGAGAGGGGAGGAGATAGAACGGAAATGGAGGTAGATGAACAACAACAAGGTTCAGGTGGAGGTACTAATGCTGGTTTGGTTGAAATCCCAGCAAGTAAAGCTACAAAATTACGTGGACATGAATCAGAAGTTTTTATATGTGCTTGGAATCCAACGACTGATCTTTTGGCATCTGGATCGGGAGATAGCACGGCTCGTATTTGGGATATGTCTGATAACTCTCAAGCACCAAATCAATTAGTTCTTCGTCATTGCATACAGAAAGGTGGTACCGAAGTACCAAGCAACAAAGATGTTACTTCGTTAGACTGGAAGGTATGCTAATTCACTTTATAGAACACCTTAAGATTTTATTCTTCACGCCATAGTGAACATGCTAAAATGAAGGATAATACAAACTTGTCATCGTTTTTAGTGTGATGGTACTTTATTAGCAACTGGAAGTTATGATGGTTATGCACGAATTTGGACAACAGATGGTAGATTAGCATCTACATTAGGTCAACATAAAGGTCCGATTTTCGCGTTAAAGTGGAATAAACGTGGAAACTATATATTAAGTGCAGGTGTTGATAAAACAACAATCATATGGGACGCGGAAAGTGGACAGTGTACCCAACAGTTCAGTTTTCATTGTGCACCAGCATTGGATGTTGATTGGCAAACAAATACATCATTTGCTAGTTGTTCCACAGATCAGTGTATTCATGTATGCAAACTGAATGTTGATAAACCAATCAAGAGCTTCCAAGGACATACAGTATGTAAATAGTAATACATAACTAAATATTCAGCTTTTTATAAAAACATAAGTTTTACTTATTTTGTCAATTGTAGAATGAGGTAAATGCTATTAAATGGGACCCTCAAGGCAATTTGCTAGCTAGTTGTTCGGATGACATGAGTCTTAAAATTTGGTCTATGAAACATGATACATGGGTACATGATCTTCAAGCTCATAGCAAAGAAATATATACAATTAAATGGTCACCAACTGGACCTGGAACTCATAACCCAAACATGAACTTAACTTTAGCTAGTGCATCATTTGACTCAACCGTAAGGTTATGGGATGTTGAAAGAGGTGCATGTATACATACACTTACAAAACACACAGAGCCGGTGTATAGCGTAGCGTTTAGTCCAGATGGTAAATTTCTTGCTAGTGGAAGTTTCGACAAATGTGTTCATATTTGGTCCACTCAGGTAAGGCAATCATACTTATATTTCCCTATAATATTTACAATAATTACAGAACCTTTTACCTTACGTTTATGTATGCAGAGTGGTCAGTTGGTGCACAGTTACAAAGGTACTGGGGGAATTTTCGAAGTGTGTTGGAACAGTCGAGGGGATAAAGTTGGTGCTTCTGCATCCGATGGCAGCGTGTTTGTTCTTGACCTACGTAAACTGTGATCGCAATTAAATAATAGATTATGTTTCGTTTCAAGAACTAATCACGGTTCTAAGTTATCCTCAGTTTTTTTACTATGGTACAACTTTTTGCTATCCAAAATACTAGCCACGTTATACAGTTCTCTCAGCAATTTGTGTATGCTGAATATTGTTTGAAAGAGCATTAATTATTTATGTACAGGACTGGAATACGAGTCAAAAGAATTTCAATGATAAATGTAAATTGAAAAATGTTGCTTTTCTTTAAATTTCTTCCCGACGTTTTATTGAAAAATTCAGAAAAAAAAAAATTATTGTACATTAGTATTTTCAGTTGTGACGCGTTGTACAGTGAAACAATTCGACAGACATTATATTTCCAGAGAAAAAAGTAAAATACAATATTCATTCACGAGAAGTGAATGGGGTATATGTTGTAATTGTAATAATAAAATAAAATAATAATACTAAGTATTATATAAACATCGGTAATAAGTAAAAAAAAAAAAATAAACTTTTTTAAAGAACAGTACAGTACCATGACTTATTCTTATTATACTTTAATAAGAGAGGTTAGATTAGAATGTACATCGAATCTATCTTAAATGAAATTTATTTCATTTCAACTACATATTGTGCAATTCAAGTCATCGAAATAAAAAAAAAATTTTTTAATTAAAGTACATAAATAACAATATTGTTCTATTTCTTTAAATAAATAACTTACATCTACATTATGCACAGTATTTTTAGGATTCATATACATTTTTCTTCTAGTCACAAGTTGTATAATACAAGTAAATATATTGTGTAAATAATAATAATAGTAATAGTATGTATAGTTATACCTATGTTCTAATAGTAACGTAAACATCAGAAGCGTTAACATGTGTTTCATTACTACATACATCGTTATGTTTCTCACGCGTTCCTAAAATAGTTTTAGAAATCATTTGTAAATGAATGTCCAGTGTACAAGTGGACAAATAATTGGAAAAACTAAACGAAACGGGTAAATATAAACTTAAATATAATTAGTTTTTGAAGTAAAATAAAAAAAAATGTTCTGTTTTGATTAAATTTTCATTGTAGTATATTACGGTCCGATGGTATTTATTTGTCTTACACGTTGAACATGACAAAAACGCTTACTTAAGACCAAAATTGAAATAATCATAAAACTAGTTACGCTTCGATGTATTACGCAGCTATATACCTAATTCTTAGAGAACAGCGTTTTAAACACAGCATGTATATATTAATTTATACACATACAAAAGGAACCTTTGACTGACTATTTTGAGTACTTGCTCATAATACAATATTTCTTTGGTATACCGACTAAGATACAGTCAATTCCATTATCACGTGTCTTTTAAGATTATTATAGAAATCAAGGAATGCATTCGTAATAGTATTAACATAAATGAAAACAATATCCAACAGAAGAAAAAACAATTGATTTAAAAGAAGCTCGGGTATAGACATATATTTGAAACATTTATTGTTTTCACAAGTAAAGTTTAATTTGATTAAACGAAAACTATATACCGAAGTAGTTACATTACATAAAATTTGTAATTCTTCAAACCGATATTCTGCAAATAACACTTAATTTCTGCTAAAAACGATCGATAAAATATCATACGCGAACGTAGTTGTTTCAGAAATGTTACTGTACAGTCGGTAGCTAAAATTCCATATCATTATTTTTTATGTTTTTCTGCTTGATCTTGAAGTTGGAATATTTTCACCTTTAAATAATTACAATGGCATGCCTTACAATGTCTTCGTTATTATATTCTTAAAACTTAACATCAATACGAAAAAACATTTATGTTAAATTACACGCATCCATAGTTGAATGCTAAACGCTTTGCATGATGGTTATCGATTAGACAGAAATAAATCACAACATATAATACTGTTCTGTTTCGTGAGTTTGCGTTATCGAAAAAGGAAAAAATAGAAAATGAGTAGAGGACGAACAGCCTGGACTAATTACCGTGTCTCTTTGCTCGCTAAATTCTGAACAACGAAATTTATTCTTCATCGTATTTCTATTTCTTTCCTTTTCTGGATATCGTTTAATTAAACTAGTTAAAACGATTCATACTTAAAAAAAAAAAAAATACTGAAACATTCTGTTTATTAAATTTCTTGATCTACGCGGGCGGGAACTTGATGCGCGCTATATTTGATTTTTACTCGACACGTGAGTAATTTGCAGGGTTGACGGGTGAAAACGATATTAAACTGTTGACTCTGCACGACACAAAATGTATACATGGGGTATATGGTAAAACCTGAGGAATATGACGAATAATAGATAAACTATATCGTAATTGGCTCGTTAGATAAAAAACCGTAATAGCGACAGCGGTGATTTAATTTTCTGAGTAGATTAGAGTAGACGCAGTTCGTTCGCCTCCACCTGAAAACAAGTATAAAAATGTAAATATTCTTAAGTTATGTTAGCGAACAAAAACTAATCCCGCCACTATTACGTGACCATCTTGCATATTATATATAATACTAGATAAGAATAGATATTATATATAATAATAGACGTAATAGAAAGAAACATGATAGAAATAGTCACCCTTCGCGGTTGATCGTCTTGCCTTGCAGCGTCGTTCGTTTGCAACCAATCTTCGACCTTTTCGGGCATCCTGTCCGGCGATAAACTTGCGTCGTGATTCTTTCCATCCTGTTCGATCGCGTATTCGATACCATTTCTCGATCTGGAGTCGATCGGTTTCGACAAGCCGGCTGCGTACAGCGGCAACGATCTCTTCCCGATGGTCTCCAAATAGCGCCGATTTGCGTCGACCTGCCGCTGAGCCTGCATCGCTTTGCGTCGAGCCAGCTCAAGAAGTACTCGTTGTCGTAACACGTCCAAAGAGTTGACGATCGACAAGGATCCGATGCGCTTCGTTCGTACCACCGTCGATCCAGGATCGTTACCCGAGTCGAACATTTCATTCTACAAGATGCAGAACTTGTGTCATTTCAAGGTAGTACATATATATTATCAGGACAAATATTAAGCGTTTTTCGTGATTATTTTTACAGAGAGAATTTTTCTTCTGTTACAGCTACTTCGACAGATCAAAATCAATTATCTCAAAACTGGTTCGTGAAGCTAGTGGATTGACTTCGTCTGATGTAAAAGCGTATGTATTCTTATACGATCTCAGTCTCCACTTTTATGGAGTACTTAATTTCTGTTTTGTCTCATTTAGGAGACAAAGTTCCAATAACTTTACCGAGAATGGAGCAAAGTGGGTGTTTTCATGCAACATAACTTTCTTTTACGCGAAAATATTTGCTATTTTAATATTAAACGTGTGGACTTTTTTTTTGTGGGGAAGGGGCGGGAGTAAAAAATAGATTTTGTTGCTCTCGATAAGATCTTCAAGATATTTCTAATCTATTTCTATCGAATTATATCGAACAAATTTGAAAATTAGTTCAAAACTGGTGTTTCAAAATTACTATGAGTCGATATCGTTCATTATCGATTGTTCGAATCTAATTATGCTCATCGCAGCTCGAAACTTATGCAATTATTTTATAGTCAAGTAATCGAAAGCCTATCTTTCCTTATCGAATAAGTTCAATAAAAGTAAAGTCGTAAGCCTAGTCCATTTCAAGGTTGCTGAATCAAAATTAATAATTAATAAATATATATATATCTTTTCTTATCGCTACATCATTATCGCGATACGTCCCCCGTTCTCCATCGATCAGGGAAAAAGTGGCAAAGAATGGTACATTGTAAAAAGAAAAATTACACGCTCGGTTAAAACGCTTCCCAAGCTGCAAATGCATACTTGCGAGGCGAAAGATAGAAAGAGTAAAAAAGAAAAAAAAAATGAAGGGAAGAAAACAACGGAAACGGTCCTCATATGTGCAACGCTCAGGTTGCCCGGTCTATCCCCTACGCGATATTTCCCTCATTTTATTGCCACTTTTACGGAACACGGGCTCAAGAATATGAAGAAAAAGTCTCGAAGCTCGTTCTGAAAGAGATACACCCACCGGCAGTTCGGAATTCTTTGTGTTCAGCCATGCTTGGAATTTTACACGCGTTTCTCGCAAGTAATTTACGCGCTGGATTATAAGAATTGCTTAAAAGTCGAAGAGATCTGTATCGCGTATGAATATTAACTCGCCGACTGGCGAAACGACTCGCGCGGGAGGATTCTGTGAGCGTTACATGTATGAATTTCAAGTGCAGCAATTAAAATTTCCCCACTGTTGGCATTATCTCGTGTTGCATCCTATGCAATTTTGTAAATAAGGTCTTTTCATTCAATTTATTACTGACTTTCTTTTTTGTGGCAACACCCACGCATTGACATACACTCAGTCCCATGAGTACTTGTGCTCTCGACGTCTATTGAAGACATTTTTCTAAATTAAATTATAGGCTTTATGGCTTCAAATAAATGTTTCGTGATAAATATATACGTACTTATAATGGAACATTTATTTGAAACCATCGAATCTGTCAATTAATTTAGACACTTTAATAGAAGGTACGAACACTTATGGTACTGACTGTATTTATCTTTTGGGAAGCAGAGGGTTTATTAAGAATATTTTCCCTGCAGTTGGTGACCGTCTTCCGAGATCGTTTTAATTATGACCAGGGAGCAGATAATAGTCGAAATGGTACCGCAGATAGTGGTAACGCGACATTTATATGCGCCACTGGAATCGTTCAGTTGTCGCTATTAATTTTCCTTCATTGTTCCTGGCTGTGCATATATACATCAGTCACCATCGTGGCTGATTAGAATGCACGAAATCGTTCCTAAATGAAGTTCTAATTATGTTTTCAATTAGTCGTCCTTTCGTTACGATTCACGAGGTATATGGGAGAACCTGATCGTGTCCCAACCAGAAGACCTAGGTCACGAAGAAAATATATTAAAGGGTTAGTCTTTTTTTCTGGGTCGTAAGATGGATTTTTCTGTCTTGAAATTATTTGGAAAGAAATGAAAATTGATATTATTAGAATAGAATATTTTTTGATATGTAAAAAAATACTATTTTTTTGTGTTGGGTTACAAAAGGTAGAAATTTTTCTTTTAATTTTCTTTTAATACCTTTCATTCTAGTTTATACCGTAATCACGTTCGTAACGAATGGAACAAAATCATTTTTCATTGATTCAAACCCTCAGGGGCTGTAGCTGTGCTTTTTGAGCGCAGCTACAGTACGGATTTGGCGAACCCGAGGCACCCGAGCTTGTAGGGACATTGATAAGAGAAAATAGAGTGATGAGAATATCAAATGCAAAAGAGTACAAAAGTATATAAATACGTTTTGTAAAGGATAGTAACAAAGTCTCATAAAGCCACAGTATATTACAGAAAATGTGTTGTAGATTTAATATAATCTTGTAAATAAATGTACAAACAAACCTATTAAATTTCAAAAGTTTGTGCAAAGCACTGTGGCTGCAAATAATTCATGAAAACTGTCTCTGTTGAAAAGAAAAAAGAGTTAACTTTTCACATCCATCATTTTATTGTAGTCCAAGTACTTGACATAAACTATCGAAACATGGTACGTTTCTTTATACATGTATATGCAAGATCTCCTTAAATTTAATTTTGTCAATTTTGAAATTTTCACGTATAATTTGGTAGAAGTATTTTAAAGACCGCGAGCAACAAAAGAAAAATCGATTTTTCGACCCAAACGAAAAACGAGTAACCATGCAGAGTCGCATTTACGTGGCTAACGTAATCATTTTCGGTGCGCAAAATCGATGGGTTTCCAATAATCCGTTTATACGGTGGTAAATAAAACGGAAGGGAGATCCAGCGCTGACGTTTGATTGTCCCGTGTGTGACTCAGGTGAGATACGTTCTCGATTCACACGTGCGTGAATTGAATTGTATCCGCGATGAAATGTCTGAAATGGCTTTACATCGAGCCAATACCTGGATCGATACGTGGTGAATCTTCGCCAGCCATGTAATGGCATTTATAGTCGTACGAGGAACCGAAGTACGCACACAAAGTCGCGTAACCTGTTATAACTTGCGAGAGTGAGGTCTCTGCGCGGAGACCTCACTCTCGCGTGCAACGTAGCGATACTCTGCTTTATTATTCGGAAGTTTATCCTCCCTCGATAGAATTATTCCTCCCGGTTAGTTGGGGTAGAAACGCGGGAAGCGTTTTAAAAATTACCATACCTCTAGTTCTGGCACTTCATGGTTGACCAGTAATAAAAATGGCGGCCGTTCGCGGGACACTTCCCTTTCATCGTATCTAGTGTACGTTACAGGTAGTCCGCACGTGACGGTGATTAACAAAAGAGATACCAAGATTTTGATAATTGTCATCGTTGTGACAATCACGAGTGTTGAATTTACCTGAAACATAGGAAAGACGAGTAGTTAGTATAGGCCATACTCTTGGATTCTTTTGTAAAGTAAACGGGGCGTTGAGACTCTAAACTTAAAAATTAAATTCCCGAAGGAAAATTGGTATTTTTGTTAAAAAACAAAATCCTAAAAGCCCTTCTACAAGACCCTTTGATATCCCGGTTAATTAATAACATGCTCGATTCGGCCGTTGCATTTTTCTACGTAAAAGAACTTTCATATTGAATAAAACATTTCGAAATTCGCTTTCCACATATATTATGTAAAAACGTGCTCTGGTACGTCAGACGAGGTATTAAAATTTTATTTCAATGTTCGCGATGTAGGGTGATATTATCATAAATGACGATATTCTTGAAACAATATGGCATCATATCGGATCATATTAGTCTCCCACATCTATTTTAATATTAAGGAGACCACACTGCTTAATAGAGTCAGCCTGTTTTGGAATTTATCCCGCGCGATATTGAGGTTAATAACGCGCGACGCAAAGGAACGGCTACACGAAAGATGTATTCAGAATTTTTATCGAAACAGTGATAGGGAACTGTTCCGGAATTTTTGGTTCGCCGTCGAAACGACACGTAGGCTACACTTTGGTTTTTGCGTCGGATAGTGATTCGCGAGAAGCTAAATTTCAGAGATGAGGAAGCTATTTAGAACCACGCCTGTTTGCACTGTTAACATCCGGTCTGGGGGTATCTGTTCGTTTGGTACTCTTCTCTGATGGAAGTGCCATTATAACCCTTCCCCTTGCAAGGTACACTAACTACACTACTCTTCTTCGTCTCAGATTTATCAGCTTACTCGAAGATGATATCCGCTTCTTTGTACTCCACTAAGAATGCTGAAAATTGATATATTTTCTTTAAACACTCTCAACAAAATTCAATTTTCAACCTTTCTGACGGTTTCGGATAACCGAAATGAATCGAAAAAATTACCAAATGTAGTTTAAAACACACCAAAAATATTCTCAAAGTTAAAATAAATCGAAGAAAATTTTTCTGTTCAAAAGTAGAAATGATGAAAAATGCTTTGTAATTGATCTCCTGATGTGGCTTCTCCGCTTAAGGAGTTAGAAATTGAAATCCTTAGAAAGATCATTTCCATTTTGGGGAACCGCTTATTTAGTTGAAGAACGTCCAGCACGAACAACCAACGAGTAAGGTCAAGTTCGACAGTGAATGAATGTGGGTCGACCTGTCGATACAGACGTCGACGATCGCCGTCGATGTCGTCGGTGACGTCGTCATCAGCGGGTTCATTAACACTACGGGCTTAATTTGCGCATGGTAATTTAGGGTTGCCGTCACGCCGGCTTTCCAATTACGCCCGCCTCGTCGCCCTCGCGAACCCGACGGTCGATTCCTGGCCTCTCCTTCTTTATCACCGTATTTCTTTCCCGTGGATGCTTTGTAATTGGCGAACGTTAAAAAAGGAAATTTTAATCAATGGCGAAACGAGCGGAAATAGGATCAGCCATTACTGCGGGAACGGAACAAAGAAAATTACGAATCAACCGTACCGTTGCGCGTTCAGAGGAGAAAATGGCTTTGATTAGGAAAATATATATTTGATTAGGTCTTCGTTAAGTCTTCGTTAGGTTACTCGTGTGCAATCGAAACAAAATATTATTTTAATATTACTTTAGTTATTCCACGTTTCAGAGAACTTTTTTTCTCGAGTGCAACACTTTACTCTACGAGTGTTATATTATTTCAATGTTCCTTAGAAAATTGAGAAAGCTTTCGACTTTCCCTCGTCATAGGTGTACGTAATTCCAGACATGTTTGTCGCGTTTAGAATCGTCTCGAGCGCTAAAGCCTGATGTTATTCTGGGAACAGCAGGAGTATCGACATTATCGATAGAATTACGATCCTTTAACGGGAGAATGAAAACGATAGTGATGTCGGTTGTAGACACAAGACGGTAACAAAGCCTGTTTCGATGACAGGGCGAGTGCATAGGCTAGAGGACAACTTATGATTGAGTTTGTTCTAAAGTTTATCGTTTTCATACATACACACGCGTGATATCCGTCTGATCCTATTTCCGATTAAGGATAACTAATGACACTTGATCGAAACGTGTGACCACGATCATCTTTACTCGATAATTAGACCTAACAATTTACTTCATAACAATCGAAAGTTTAGAATAATTTATGCTAATAACGTAGAATATTAAAATAACATTTTGTAGAAATTAATTCTGTTGCTTTCTAAGGTAAACTTACCATTTATTTATAAAGAAAAATCACACAACTTTTAATCTTCCCTTGGAATCTGTGCGATTCCTTGCTATGTTTATACCGTATACCTATAAACGATTGAATGTAAAGGCACAGAATTAATTTCCACGCCGCAGTTTCTACCGTATGATAATTTACTTATAAATTTCTATATACGTTTGATTAGAGACAAAGTCTTAAAAAATTTTCGTCTCGATCGGAACGCTTCGCTCCTTCGCGAGATAAAAAATCAATTTTTTTCGTTATCACGAAAGTACACCCACCCCTTAAACGTCGAGGTATGCAATTTTAAAGCTCCCGGGTGTATATCACCGCGGGCTTCGTGACCCTGCCGTTCCCGTTTTAAAGTAAACCTTAAACTCGTCTGCGAGCCGAGACCTTAATTGCGTCGACGGTGACGACATCGAGAGTGGAAGAAAGCCTTGGGAACAGGGGAAAATATTCCGCGAGGCAACAGGCGTGAAATTATTTGCAGCCAGACGGGAAATAGGAACGCCGAGAAACGCGTTAAGGTTCTATCGGTAATTAATCGAACGTTACAAAGGAATTTCGAGGGGGGGGCTCCTTTGTACCTTTGTAAATGTAGGAAACGTCTGTAACTTCGCTAGCCGATGGAGAACGTCTCTGTAATCACGGAGGGAACGACGCGCAGGCACGTGCAACACTCATATCTCGGTGGGATTCAATTTGCGCTTTGCTGTCGCGTGGGTCGCGGGGGTGTGCTATTACCGCGGTTAAAAATGTTTTAAAGGCTGCGTGGGGTGCTAGTTGACAATGCCGGAAAGTGGATGAAAATAATGAGAAATTGAAAGGGTGGGGAGTGTAAAGTGAAAATGAAAGAAGCGATGGGAATGGGATGAAGGCTTGACGGCGAATACGAAGTAACTGAAAATGGGGTAAAATTTGAAATCATCCGAATGTCTTCGTTGTCTAACAAAATACACGAAAATGTGCGGTTGTAGAAGTTATACTATTGACTTGTCCGGAAAGTTCATGCCTATTTTTAAGAAAAATTCAAATGCATATTTGAATTTTGATTTATATTTATTGAATTATGTATGTACCATTTTGTTCCACGACCTTTTCACCTGTTAAGGAATGTACACGTATTATTTGTTTTCAGCCATTCCGATATATTCAGACCTGTACCGTCTACCAAAAATCGGCATGGACTTTCCAGACAGTATTTCCATATTTTTTTCCAATTACTTCACTACTTTGCCAAGTGATCCTCGAAACCACGATGTGTCAGAAAGTACAGTGACGTATTCGTCCCCGTCGATCTTAAATAGCGCCCCAGTGCACTCTTTTCCCATGATCCGGCAACGGTAGCCTTAAGTCCTCCTAAAAACTCTCGTATTAAAAGCCGACCTCGCCGTGGAAAGTTGATTAACACCAGCGAGGCGGAAAAAACGAAGAAAATTACGTCCGCCATCGCGACCGCGACAATAGTTCACGGCTAGAGCACACGTAAAAGCTGCTTTATCGTTGATTGCTCGGCCGATGCGCGCGATAAGTTACACAAGCCCCGATTAACCTAAATGTACAGTTTTGCTTAACTTTAAAACAAACCCAACTTCGCGAGCGCTTCTTGTCTGCTTCGTTAACACCAATTCGAACCTTCAAACATTGACTCTGTTTCGCCGCGCGTTAACGAAACTTCCAGAGAATCTCGCGTTGAGGGCAGAAGGGCCACGCGCCCCTTGGACGCCATTTTGCGGGGGAGGAAAGATATATAGATGAAATTAATGCCTCGTGACTCGAATCTCTGCTCGGAATAAAATTGATAGCCACTGGATAGAATCACCGAAAGTATAAGTCGGGTTCGCTTTTGGCTGTTGAGTTGGATATTGGAAAGATGGGCGGCCATTAACGAGGGAGGTAGGAGAAAATTGTCGGTGCGCGCGTTACTATGTTCCATACGTGTCGAAACATCCACGAATGCGATTGGTACTTCCGACGATATCCTGCAATCCTTTAAATGCAAATTCGCGCTATCTAATGCCGACGCTAATACCGCGTTCACGTTTTACGACTGCTTTTTCAGCGAGATTAGAGCTCTGTCACTTGCGACCGACTATCCAACGGTCGTTCCAATAATTAATTGGACATCTCGAAGACCTGATTCTAAAAGGTTATTGATGATGCGAACGGGCGTCCTCTTTTTAATTTTAGAAAAGAGTTGCAATGTTGTCTACGAGAAAAAAATATAAAATTACGCTTGCAACACGTTAGGAAATTACACTTATAAATGATCGAATGTAAAGGCACAGACTTAATTTCAACGGCTAATAAATTCGAGGGAGTATAAGTATCAAAATGAATATCTGTCGACTTTCGAGAAGCAACATCCAGTTTTCTGTATAGTTTTATCAAGACAGTTTTTGCAGTCATGACATATTCATCACTTTCCACATCCCTAAAAGCATAGTACCAAAAATTCATCCAATACTGTTTAAAAATACAGGAAAACACTTTATTTCACTAGAATCGTAGAATAAAAATAAACAAAAAATATATAAAAATTGTATAGTCTTTTCCGTTTACGATTTTGTACCCAGGTATCGAGTGTTCGTGTTGGTCGCGCGTATCGAATGACGAGCGTCGTAAAAATTGTGCGAATTTTGTACTCGTGACGTATTTATTAACGAGACTGCGCAAGTCGATTCGTATTTATCGCGATCTACACGTAGTACGGAAACTTTAATTGAAAAATGACAAAAGTAGCGC